GAGCGGTGCATAGCTCACCATCTCAATGACCTCACTGGATACAAATGTCAAAAGATTGTTACAGATACTATCAGTTAAGTGCACGTTTCTCCTTGCTGGAAAAAGGTTTTCCATGACAAGAAGTTAGCAAAAAGTTTCTATAGGCATGAACTGACTATTTATTTTTAACAAACTGAAAAAACACAGCGAATTTTTGAAAGCTATACCTGTTTTTCTCTAGCCCAATAAGAAATCCGGCTTCGCCTAGTGCTGCAAGAAAACTTCCCCTACCGGCATCTTTTCCAGTTACGGCATATTCACTTACAAAAGCCTGGAGGAGACTCGATTCAAAGACAACTAACATTGATCAAACCCAAGAAATATCTACATAAATAAAAAATGGCAAATAAAGGATCAACGCACCTTTGGTCCACTACGCAGCGTATGGTCAAAATGATTGCCTCTAGAGAAAATGTCGCTGGAACTTGTGTAAACCTAACCAACAAAATTAAGATATTAAAAGTAACTGTCAGTCCAGAAGGCAAGAAAGAGTAATCATGTTTTTCTAAAACGAGAAAAGTATTAGAAAAATAAAAACAAGTGCTGACAGTAGATGACTTACATGATAATCATACAAATCAGCCGGGTGATCCAACGGTTGAGAAGAAGCATCGCAGTTTGTAATGATTTGGATATCAGGATAGGAACTTTTTATGGCATCATAGAACTTGAGGTAATTTCCTGCCAATTGACAAGTTTTATCAAACGAACTTTAATAACATGTATTACAATTTGGATTTAGAGTCATAATCTTGAACATACAAGTTCGAAAAGACTAACAATTTTCACACTAACTTTTGTACACTGTTAAATCTCATAAACCTCGTTACACTATTTTCTTGTAATTGCTAGAGAAACGATCTGAAATCCATCTTGATAAGAACAATTTTAAGCAGTAAATAGCAATTCACAAACGTAAATTTTTAAGTTCAATCAAATAAACTCATTTGTGGACAACAAAAATGTCCTTCATAACTGATATTTCTATCTATACAAATGATAAACAAGTGGCAAAACATTATCATAAATCAAAGAAATAGACAAACCTCGGTAATTCTTTTTGCCACAGTCCTCATTCCCAATAGCAACATATCTTAAGTCGAAAGGTTCTTGGTGTCCCATGGCAGCACGAAGCGAACCCCATTTAGAATTAGGGCTACCTCTAGCAAACTCAATACCATCAAGGGCTTCCTATAATCAAGAAAACACAATTACAAAATTCAGTATATAAATGGAGTAAACATACATAAGCTGAATAAAGATGAGTATAAAGTGTATTAACAGCAATGGAGACAGAGAATTCAACGGATCAGAAGAAGAGGGAATGAAGTTAACCACTGTGACATAAAAACACATGCCTGCACAAATGGTAAGACACTAGACGTGGAAACTTGGTCATTGTGACTGATTCCTGTGGACCATGGAACAGAGAACAATTACTTCTCGGTCAAATTATAATGATAAGCAAAAAGCCAAAGGCGAAGCATGAATCAAAAGAAAGTACCGTTATTGAATACCCACACTGGCAATGCACCAAGATCTTCTGATAGCTGCAGCAACAAGATATTTTACAATGTCTTGTAAGGAACATATACCGAAAAATCTCAAAGTTTTATAAACTTCATACGTTCATATCCTATACTCACGGACCAAAAGTACCTACTTGAAGAAACTCAAAATAACCAATCCCATCATCGGTCCAGTATGACCAGACATCACCAAAATGCCCAGGCCTCTCTTCCCATGGTCCAACAGTTTCTTTCCACCGGAACGCATTCCTTAACCATTCACCTTCAACAAAACATCCACCTAATACAACATAAAGTACACTACGTAGAGTTAGGACCCTTGAGGATTCAACAAAACACCACTCTGGATAAGACTAAACCCAAACATGGCAGCCACCTAGTCAACATGTTGGTTGTGCACTGAATATGTACATATGAAGTTCCAAACTAAGTTAGAAACAGGCTGTGACAACAAAATAAATTCAATTTTACCAGGAAATCTGAAAAAACGAGGTTTTAAATCTGCCAGCATTTGGACAAGATCAGTTCGGAAACCATGCCCCTGCACCAAAATCACCGCTTTAGAAAGAAACTTTATAAATTAGATAACAAGAATAATGCTAGATCAGCACACATCTTGTCTCAGTTTCTTTAGAAATTGCGTATGCTTTAATAAGTATTCACTGCTTTTGTTTATCTCTTTAAAGAATGAGGGTCCTAAAGTCACATGTTGACTGTTTGATTTAGCCCCACTTTCCTGGGTTTTATTCTGAAAAAGACACAACCCTTATCCTGAAATTTTAAGGTTTGAATTAAGAGATTTCTTTTATGACCTCTCGTAGTGATAGAAGTTCAGTACAAATAGTATCTGCCCAGTTACGATAATGCAAGTGTATAATCTCTCCATTAAGTTCAAGTGAGAACACAAAATTCCATAGCCATGTAACAACTAGTGACATAGATCTATCCACATCTAATTCATCCCAAAAAGGAGAAAAGCTATGTAAATACTGATGACACATCCTCCTGAAATAACATCAAAGAAATTCCGAAGAAATGCAGTACCGTATATGTGTCCAAAGGCATAACTGACACTTGATCAAACCATATCACCCCTTTCCTAGTAGTGGTCAATTGAAGTCTTGAATTACTGTCGCTTCCTTTGGCCTCCAACAGAAACTCCTTCTTTATCCAATCTGAAACTTCACCATCATCAGCTCTGCAACCGTATTAAAATGAACTGCTGATTATTTGAAAGAGACAAAAAAAAAAAAAAAAAAAAGTTTGGAATTGTGTATGAAATTGGTGCTTACATAATGTTCGTAGACGCCATCTTTTGCAACCCATTTGATCCGGTCAATGCTACAGATATATTGACTGCATCGGTTGAACGGACATAAAAAGCCACTTTGTAGCTCTTTCCTTGTTCAATATTCTACAAATACAGAAAGAACACAGAAATTTCAATAAGTAAAACAAACAAAGAATAAAGACTAAACAAAATACAACTGTACATGTGTAATATGTAGTAAAAAGTACTCACCATGCCCCAGTATCCAGGGTTATAAACACCAACACCTTCAGGTGGACAGCTATTGGGACCTTTGCTGTCACAAAGCACGTCAATTCTCAATGCTATCTTATTGCGTTCAAAGCATGAAGAGCGATGATACAATCAAAGATGACTCATCTCCAATAATAGTCCACGGATCAATGTTTGAGGGAATATTAGGGCCCCCGGCTTCAAAACCTGGGAAGAAAGGTTCATGAGAAACCCCAAATTTCCAATATTTCAAGACCAACATGACTGTCATGGACACTTAAAAAAGGATGAGTAATGTATTTGGAACCAACCTCTGTTGCTTACAAGCTCAGCCCAAATTCCACCAGCACCAGCATGGTTAATCTCCTGCAGTAAAAGAACATATATTTTTCCAAAATCAACAACCCTTCAACAAGAAAAACACTAAAATGCTAATAAAACTTAGCATAAAAGCTCAACTGAAAAAGTCACTCGTGTCTTTTAAGCCAACACATAGAAGCTCATAATAAAAAATAAAGGTACAATCAAAAAATTCCAGCTCGAACAAATGTATAATATAAACAAATCAAATAAAAAAATAAAGAAAAGAATACATATATAAGCATGTGAATGTGCTTACATATATCTATATCCATGAAACAAATGAAGCAAATTGCAAGCAAACCATGGTCAGGCAGCAAAGCATGACGAAAAGAAACCAAGCCGACACATTGTACATTCCTAAAGAAACTGAAGAAAACATGACCATTTCAAGTCAGGGAATGAACCTCAAAGAATAATCCGAAAAATGTTTCGGATATTGGTTGCCCGGATGCTTCAGAAGCATTCACTTGCAGCGACGCCGTCCGGGTTGCACCAAGCTCAGAACCCGAGCATTGATATACAAGAGAAATAAGCAAATACAGTGGAAGGAGACTGTGAGGGGCCTTGCTATTAGCCATGTCTAATTCACCACATCCAATCTTGTCAAAACCTAATAAAAGCAACAGAAAGAAAGAGACCTGTTATAGTCACATTCTGATCCATTTATGATTAAACACATAGAAACGTGAAACAGAAACCACATAATGAACTTTTGGTCATAAAAAATCCAAATTTGCATATGTATTACAAACCTTTCAAATGTGCATTCAATAAAAAAAAAATAAAAAAATAAAAAGAAACAGGAAAAACAGATACCAAATTCTGCGTCTAACAAACTGACATATTCAAAGAGACCTAAGCCAAAGAGTTAAACCAAATCAAGGAATAACACCAAACATACAAAGAGAGAACCAATCAAAGGCTCCAACAAAATATCAGAACAGAACACAGTCACACACAAAAGCTCAAAACCAACTCCACCACCATAGATGATTGCGTATAAGAAATAAGCACATAATACACACCAAAGACAAAATTAGTTCGGAAGTTCCAATGACAAAAAAAAAACAATACCGATATAGATTATATAAGATGTAAAAATGATCAAAGCGGAACAGAAGAATCATACACTATAACTTAAAAACTGATCAACCACGAAAGTGTTGCGTGTAAGAAAGCAAACAAAACAATTACCGTAAAGCAAACAAAATCTGTAATTTGCAAGTCCCAAGTGAGTATTTTGTGCTTTTGACTTCTTTCTGTTTATCTTCTGAATCCTCTCAAGACACAGGGAGAGAGAGAGTTATCTTTATCCAACTGACAAATGTGATTAGCAATTATTTATTTATATTGATTATTAATATTATTAATATATCCGAGGAGTGAAGTGAAGAATGATTTTTTGTCTTTGCTTACACGTAAGCTAAGCAGCATTTCTGGCCCCACATCATCACCACTTGGCTGTGGAATAAAACTAACCGAACGACTGAAAATGAAAGGAAACCCCATTTTTCCTGATTTTGCTTTGTTCTAAGATTTTTGTTTGGTGTGGGTCTCATTCAGGGCCCGTTTAGTTTTAATTTAAATTTTTAATTTGAGTTGAGATGTGATTTTATGTGAAATTTTTTTATTGTAATAAAAAAATTAAATATAATTATTTATGAAAGTCTTTTTACTGTAACAAAACTCAAATTAGCGAAATGATCCCAGATGATATTCTGATCTTGGGCTCAGCTGTTGTGTTCGTGTTATGATCCCAGATGATGTTTTTCTCGAGGAGTTAAGTTTGCTTCTTTTTTCTTTTTTCTTTATCTTTTTGCTGGAAATTTTCATTTTCTCGTCTTTTCTTTTTGGTTGGTAATGCTAGTCGAGTAATGTTTCTTTTTTGACGAGTTACTTCTGCTTAATAACGAGTTATTGCGGACCAGGGAAATTGCAATTAATTGGGATTTACGTAGGATTCCTTTTTTTTTTTTTAAAGGGGATTTACGTAGGATCCTTGCGATTAAACAAAAATGGACTTTTTTTTTTTTTTGCGAGGTAAAATAAATCTTTTGGTTTCTAGAAGAAAAAAAAAGCTCTTTTGGTTCAGAAAATAATGGTTCTTTTTTTTTTTTTTTATGGAAATGGTTCGGTTTTTGGAAAGTTCATTAATATTGGTTTCATATGTTCGAGTTAAAAAGTGGTGCAAAAAATTGAGTTTGAATTTTTGTTAAAAAAAATATTATAGTAAAAATTTGTGTCCTCATTCGAACTAATGAAACAATCAAGTCTAATTTACTGGATCATAAATTCAAGATTGGATATTCTTCATGATTAAATTTAAAAATTTTAGAATTTACTAGATTTTTAAGGCAGAGTTTGTCAGACTTAATTATATCAAATTCAATAAAAAACAAGTTCAGGATTTATCTCGATTTACCCCATAACCTAATTTTTAAAAAGTAAGACTTACCAAATTTAATTTTATGAAATCCCAAATTAAATACATTAACTATCAATATCTACTTATTTAATACTAATTTCTTATTTACATAATATTTATTAATTATTTTTAGTTAATAAACACATTTTTTGAACTTCAATTTTTTTCAAAGTTAAAAGGATCAATTTGTTACATATTATGATAAATAATTTACGAATTAAAGATTTGAAAATGCATTATTTACTATAAATTTATTTTTAAAATAATCAAAAATAGGTTTGTTTTCAAGGAATAACCAAGCATGGATGTTGGCCTACTGAGGTTTGTCAAATAGTAGATAACATTTTTCTTTATTCAAATAATCCTTTTATTGTTATCAGCAAAAAATAATAATAATAATCCTTTTATTGGAGTTTAGAAATCGTCGCCATTGATTATAGACATCAAGTTATAACCACGAATTGTAACATCAAAAAGCATTTTTTTTAGGGACAAATCACTTTCAAAATCTGTGTATTTTTCAAAAGAAAAATACTTCGGGAACTTGTATTTTTAATGCATTAAAATGCTATCTTGACCATTTAAGATGTAATATTTGGATACTCTAATATAGTTTTTTAGAAATAAAAATGTCATTAATATCCTTAAAAATTGTAGTAAATAACATATTTTTAAAACTAAATTAAGTAAATAACATAGTTTAAAACTATTTAAAGTAAATAGCAGTTTAAGTGATAAATAATATTTATCATGTAATAAATGATTCATTTACGACTGGTAAAAAATAACATATGTGATAAAAAATCTTTAAAAATCTTTATTTACGTAGAAAAAAAAACTTTTTACCAAATGTAAAAAGAAAATTTATGTGAAAGAAATGGTAAATAAACCATTTACGAGGTAAATGATTCACTTATCACGTAAATTATTGTTTATTTTAGATAGTCTTAAAATGTGTTATTTATTTAATTTAGTTTCATAAATCTACTATTTACTACATTATCTAACTAAAACTAATTTTTAAAAATAATTTCAAAGTTTATGAAACACGACTTACAAAAAAGTTAGATCTAACCCTACAGCCAGAGACAAAGCCGGGATTTGATTTCAGTGAGAGCACAAATAAAATAAAATTTATAAATTAAAATAAGAAAAAAAAATAAAACTTCTCTATAAAGTTAAAAAGTTTATTGTTGTGCATACTTCAATATAACCTGAACCTTAAAAAATTACAAATAAACATAAACATACAATTAACGTCATAATAAAAAAAATCATATCTTTATAGTATTTGATTAAGGATTAATTAAAAAAAATTTCTCAAAATATGACTCTTGTAATACTTTGTTTCTCAAACTTTAAAAAGTAACATATCCAAACTTTAAAAAGTAACACCCGCTCTCCCAAATTTTTTTTTTGTTAACAGCTTCATCCCTTCTGTTATATTAAGTGATAAAATTTGTCACCTTTCACTTATTTGATCATTTTAGTAAGAATACCCTCCTAATCAGATAATCTCCTATTTTTATTCTTTTGTTCCCCATTTTCGTTATTGCTTCTCATTTTATTCATCCATGGCAAGTATCTGCAGCAGCGAAAATACATGGACGCGATTCAACAGTTGAACACCATCAGGTCCCATATGAGTGCAAAACTCAATAGTTGAACCTTCGTTAGACCTCTTGATCTCCTCTCCATAATCAAACAGAGCTACAAATTGCTCATCAAATGTGCCTTCAATTTTTTTGGTAGCTGCCCACTTTGCCCGATATGATACATCAACAACAATGTCGTTTTGCAAATGAAAAATTAAGTCAATCGGTCAACATACCGGTCGGACAACCAATTTGAAGTCACAAATCTGTTTTTATTCTTCCTCCCACATCTATGTTCAGGGTTATAAGTCTTGATGAGAAAAGCATTAGAGTCACCGTAATTGCTGATGAAGCACACCCACTATTTCCCTCTATTCAGCCATTGGGAGTGATTCAATAGATTTCTTAGAATGAAGCTTGAATTTCTCCTCAACTTTTTTCTTTTTCTTTTAGCAGAGTTCTAACCTTAAAACCCAAATTCAATGGGTCTCTTGCATTATTTTTTGAGTTTTCTTTTAACGCATTTTTCATAACCTAAGGTCCCGTTTTTTTCGCTGATTCGAGTTTTGCTACAATAAAAAGCTCTCAGAAACAGTCACATCTAACTTTTTTACTACAGTAAAAAGCTCTCACACAACATCACATCTCAACTCAAATTAGCGAACCGAACGGGCCTTAAGTTTCTCGCAGGTCATTTTATCATATTACCCTCTTTATATAGGTCATATGCCTCTCACTTAAGAGATTTTATGGCTCATTGTAATAGAAGGAGTAAAGTTGTTAACAAAATAAAGTTTAGAAATAACGAATGTGATTTTTTAAAGTTCAGAGAATAAAGTGTTACATGAGTCATAGTTTGAGAGAAATTTTTGTAATTATTCCTTTAATTAATGAACTTGTCACATATCTCAGTTAATATATGATAGTGGATAATTCTTATGATTTTTTAGAGAGAGAAATTTTGCTTTTTAGATGTGGGAGAAAATAAATAAAAGAATATGGAGGGATATCACTGGGTGTGAAAAGCAGAGAGAGCGGACACATTTTTACCATTTAAAATTGATTTAAACTGTTAAATTTAAGGAGTACACTAAATTTTAAGTTGGACAGTTTTACTCAGTTCAAATAAAAAATACAATTCAAACTGTGTATTTACAAACACAAATTTAAATTATGCTCACTCTTCAAACTGAATTGAACTAAGCTAAATTAGTTAAATAAATAGGAGCCATATTATTCATTTTCAACTCCTAATTAGGAAAAGATATACTGCAACAACTGTCCCGATTTGATAGCTGAAATCATGGAGGTATAACTGTTAGACCCCGAGATTCAGGGATAAGGGGATGATCTCCTCGAAAAGTGGAGATAAGATCTATGATCTTTAAAAGGCTTATAAATAGAGCTTGCTTCCTCCGTTAAGTTTTTTTTACGCACTATTCCAAAAGAATTGTAATCAACAAATTTTTATTTTCTTTATCTTTTCATGCAACGATAATTCTTGATTAATCTATAAAAAATTACTGTGAGTGTTCCGGAAGAGTTAATCTTTAGTTGACTAAAATCACCCGTCAACAACAGTAGCCTATAAAGGATTTATTTTGGCCAGTGTGGGCACGTGCCCCTACTGGTCCCTACCTGGCTCGTGCCTGCAGCATCTTTAACAAGCTTGCACTCATCTTACTCTATCGAGAGATATTCTTACCCACGTGTATGGATACTGTGTATGCTATATTGTAAAATACATGAAATTTAACATGAAGGTAAAACAAGGTAAAAGGTGTGCGCACGCACATGTACGCTTGTGTGTCTGAATCAAGTTTTGTTAAAATGCTCATGAAGGATTAAGAGACAAAGTTGGGATGAAGAGAATAGACGAAGAAAAAGAATAATGTTCTTAGGATTTTAATGTTTTGGTGTGTTTTTTAGTTTTTAGATTTAATTTTAGAAATTTAGTTTCATGTTGTTAGAGTTTACCCGCTCTACCCCGTCTCGTTCGCATCCCTAACTCCACTTAAGATT